TTTTTAAAAAAACTTTAATAACTCAAAATTTTGCTTATGAAACTACTTTTCGTGTTCTAATTAAAAAAATTTCTTGCAAAATTTGGGTATAAGCTGTACCCTTGCTTCATCCCAAGCCTCAATACAAACCCTAATATTAAAGAGGTTTAATTTTTGGCTTAATAAAAATTGTTTTGATCTACATATATTACTGGTATTAAATACCACTGGTTTGATTTATAATAACTGTTTAAAATAAAATAAAATAAAATTTTTTAAAAAATTTTTTAATTAATTATTTTTTTTTTTAAATTTCATATATAAAATTTTTCTTTAAAAACCCACCCGGCTATTAAAACAAAAATTTTTTTTGCAAGTTTTCAAAATTTGACCGGCCGGTTATAAAAACCAATCAATTAATTTTGCATGGCCTTACGTTACGCTTATGACAAATTTGAGTTTCATATATATCAAAATAAATTTAATTTTTAGCATTAGTCAATCTTAAGTCGCGATATTTTATAAATGCAGTATAATAATTAAAAAATTTTTTCAAATAATAAACCTAATTTTGAATGAACAAAATCTGGCTTAGCTAAATAAAAATATTTTCAAACTTCTATAAAAATTTTGTTAAACTTATAACAATTCAAGTAGTCTATCAAGATAATTATTAATTTATATTAATATGGAAATGTAACATTACTATCACGTGTATTTGTTTTGAATAAGTAGCTCAAGTTTTAAGTACGTACGTACACGCAGTATATAAAAGGACAATCGATCAGAACTTTTGACAATACACTAGCTTGAAAAATAAATCTTCAGAGAAGCTTTCGTGATAAAAAAATTTTTTTTTTAGCGTAAAACATGGCCCTGGATCGTGGTACGCCTGAAGGTGTAGAGGCCTGGCTTGCGGAAGCGTCGACAAAACCTTGGTCGTTTCCCACAACGGTTGGACCAGAACTCTCACAGGAAATATTACAACACATTTATAATCACTGGGACACCTACACACCTAATATTAAGTTAGGAGTCTTGTTTGCTATAATGAGCATTAGAAAACTGTTGGTGAGCAAGATGAAGGACGAGTTATCAGCGGTAAGCAATAACGTAGTTGGCGTTTTGAATGTCGATCTGATCGTGGTGGATTTGGCTTTTACGTGTCCACTTATTAATATGGTTGATTTCTAAAAAAAAAGTTGAATTTGCTAAATAATAAAGCTATAATGATACTCGAGAGAACATACAAAGTAAAATAAATACGGGTTCTAGCTTTATTTTGATCAACCAATAAATGTCTATTATGTCTCATGTTTTTTAAGAGATGTGTCACTTTTGTTAATCTAGGAATTGTAATATCATAATGTGGGAGTTTTTTGTGTGGAAATTCTACAAAACCATTAAATAAATTATTTATAATGCATCGTTATGCTTCGTTCATGCATGACGGATCTATTGATAGCGAATGCGTTGCAAAAATTGTTATGGATGCTCTCTTTGTACATCACAGAGTGCAATGAATTATTGACTTTAAATTTTTATGCTAACATTATTACTTACTATAATGTATTATTTCAATCTAGATAATCGAAAATGGCATTCGAGAACAAGAAGACGAATGGGTTGTTCTGATATCGAAAATGTTGCGGGATTATCCAAATACTTCAGCGCTTGATTTGAATATAGAACAACATATCCCGCCTGCTGCTCAGAATGGACTTCAAAATCTAATGAACAAGAGTAAATTTCCTTTTTATTAATGATTGTAAATTCATTTATTTTTGCCTCATTTGTTTTTCCTTAACTTATAGTACGACAAAATGGGATCAAATTTCACCCGGTTGAATATGCATTTATTGATCGCAATGTTTGCGATTCTTTTTCTACGCTCTCGTTGAACTCTTCTGTTAC